GGTCTCCAGAGATTTTTGTCTAACTTAAAGCGATGCGCACAGTACATCCTACTCCACTAGGAAAAAGCGGTCCCAGTCCCTAGCTACCCACCCACAATCCCCAAAACCGCCACGCATACACCAACTAAGGCACAGCCAGGGGACAGGCTTGCTCTGGCAGTGAGGCCCCTCCAGAGTGTGAGCATCTGCAGAGAGGGCTGTGTGATGTGGAGTTCAGCACCTTAGGAGCAGGGAGGGGGCAGTGGGCAGAGAAGGAAGACGTCTCAGACTTCTGAATGATCAGAAGAAGAAAAATGGGACGAGGTGGTCAGGACACAAGCGGATGAGAAAGCAAAGAATGTCCGAAAGAGCAAAAAGCAGAAAAAGTAGAAAAGAAGAGAGTGGAAAGAGAAAGAGGCAAAACAGGATGTGGGCACCCAAGGAAAACAGAAAGGGAGACAGAGCAGAGGAGGGAAGGAAACAGAGAAGAGTGAGATGAATGAGGAGGGGAGTCAGGGGTCCAGTAAGAGGGCAGCAAAGGACATCAGAACTCTATTTGCAAAGGGAATTGGGAGACCCTCGGCAGACCCTCAGTCCTTGACAAAAACCTGGCGAGCCCAGTACACCAGGTCAGCCATGTAAGCCAGCAGGTTGATGGCTGTCAAAATGGCCACAGCCAGTCGTTGGTCCCAGGCGCACACGTAGTATGTGAGATCATCTCTGCAGCTCCCATCGCTGGACCGCTGGGCCTGGCCACCCAACTTCTCGTCAAACTGGTAGAGAGGCCAGAGAACCATAGCACTGGAGTAGAAGATGACGGAGAGCAGGGTCAGCCCCACCTGGAAAATGGGGAATGGGATGGGCAGTGTGTATTTCAATTTGAACAGTTTCAGCAGGATGGCCACGGCTGCCTGGATGAAGCAGATGGAGTAGACGACCACACACCACACCAGGGCCGGCTGGTGCAGGTACAGGTTGGTGTTGCTGATGAAGGCAAAGATGACACAGGCCACGAGGGTCTCCAGCACCTTCAGCAGGCCAGGTATAGTGTGCACATAGCAGGGGTTGCTGCCGAGCTCATACCAGTCCCAGATCCAGGCCACTTCCATGCCATAAAGCACACAAGCAATGCAGGAGAATGTGATGGCGGCGATGGCACGGTCTCGGTTGGGGCTGAGAGGCAAGAACTGGACGAAGGTGGTTGTGTAGGTGATGGAGGCCGAGAGGCAGAGGAGGGCAAAATAGCAGGCGAAGGTGATGGGAACGTTGTACCAGAAGAAAGGGAACCGGCGCTGGAGACCAAACCACTCAACTATGATGATGATGAGGGTCATAGCAAAGCAGAAGCACCAGATGAACAAAGAGAAGTTACCTATGTCGCCCCTCCAAGTGCCCATGCTGGCCACTAGTGAGAATGCAATGCAGGTGGACAGTACCTGCAGCAAGCGGAGGCAGCAGCCCCTTCCGGTCCAGACGCCAACGTCTAAGTTCCGCAACGAAGTGAACTGGTTTCCCGTGGTGGTCATGCTGGTCACTGTTCCTGCTTGGCAGTGGTCTTCGCTGAGGACCCACCAGAGAAAGATCCGGCTCTGGACTAAGTCAGGCACCTGGAATCAGCTAAACGGCCTGTGAAGGCTGAGACTCAGGATGTGGAGTTTGAACCAATGACTCAGACACCTGGGTAACAGTACAACTGCCCTCGGATGACTCTCCCCGCTCTTCACCTTGGCCTTGGCAGGAGACTAATCTTATCTCCAATCTCACAGCTGGGTGTGGTCTGGCCTCAAACCAAGAATGTTTTTCATCTCTCTGAACTATGTGCCATCATCTACGGAGACACAAGTTAGGATGGTCCTTATCTGCAATCCCAAACCTTCAAGGGCCTAAAAATTGAATAAGAATTAAAAAAAATTTTTTTTGGTAACAAAATTTGATCTGAACAGACATGAGACAATTTATGGTCTTGATTCATGTCACTTACTATGAATGTTGAAAAGTGCAGCTGCAGAAACGCTAATGTGTTCGATTACAAAGCGTTTTCAGAGCCCAGTGGGGTGTTATGTCATGTATGCACCATGTTACATGTCTGGTCTGAAAAATTATGAATTCTGGAGCACATCTGACCCCAAGGTTTTCTGAAAAGGGATTGCAGATGGTACTGCTAACCCCGATTTACAAATAAGAAAATCAATGCTGGGGGAAGCCAGTACCTCCCCTAAGGTTGCATGGATAAGAAATGGGAAACTCGGATAAAAATCCCAAAGCGGTGGGTGTGAATCCTTTGCTCTACAGCCCAGCATTTCAGCAGGGCCTGTGGGTGGGAGCCCAGCACCCAAGCTCGGGGCTCTGGGAACCCAGGACAGGCTTTCAGGGCCATGGCCTCCTTCCACAGCCACCTGAAGAGACAGGTGTCTGTCCTGTCCTTCCTGCAGCCATCACTAGAAAGAGCTGCCATCTGCGGTGACACAGCCCTGCCCCGGGAAGGGCAGCTTCAAATGTGAACAGGGACAAGCCATGGGGTAGAGCAAGGCAGTGGTGACAAGATGATACGTGAAGCAGAAACTGTTTGAATTCTCCCCTCAACTCTGCCTTAACATGTGACTCTTGTCCATTTGGGAGGAGACACCAACCCAGCATTACTCCAAGGTGGAGCGTCATGGAGGAACCACAGAAAAACATAATATTATGTTTAACTTCTAAGCTCCAAAGCAGCCATCCACGTGCAAGTCTGGAAAGATTTAGGAGTGGTGCTGCCTAAGCGAGGATTTTCGGGTGGGAAACTAGTGAGAACTTCCAAGCTGGGCAGAGGGATTGGAAATGAACAGGGATGTTGTGTCTGGGTGCTGATGTGGAGCCTTCAGGGCGTCCCAGGGGAGGGGTGGAGCATGGACGGTAATAGGCCCCCTTTTAAGGGCAGGAGCTGAGAGAGATCTGTACCTGCTGGACTTCTGGGAGGTGCAGCACCTGGTTGGGGCCGGGCCGGGCGCAGCAGAGTGGAGATGGCTGGGGGGACTCCCACGGTCCGAGTGGCCCTGAGGCAGCCAAGGAGGAGTCTCCTGATCCAGAAGGAACACAGGCATGGAGCCACCTTCCCCATGTAGGAGGGGCCTGGGGTGAAACTGAGAGGGAAGAACAGGGGCCTAAAGCGGATTCAGAGGTGACAGGGGACACGTGGCCAGAGTGGCAGGGACAAC